ACAGGTGATAAAAAAAGATCTTAGGAAGAGAAGAGCAGCAGTTATGGCTGATACTACATAGGTTGCGAAAATTATTCGCAAATCCTATCGAAACTTCGCGAACAACAGTTACAGTTTCCAGAAAGGCAAGTAAGAAGATTACTGTCTGAATCAGTAGCCACGTCCTCTCTCCATCATTTGTAGTAATGGAGGATAAATATGTCATCCTATCGGTTCTTTCTTCCGAAATCCGGTATACTATTTCGTCGATAAAGAGTCGAACAACACCTGGCTTGGATACGATGAGATCTGAACACCTGAAGAACCTGTCGCTAGCCCACATTAATACACTGACTCGACTTTTCAGAAGTTGCCCGTCAAAGTTCAAGGTTCGTATTGAATGAAAGGCCAACAAGTCTACGTAATTGTTCATGAAGGCAACATCCACGATAATGACAACAACTATGGTGGGACGGCTTATGGTGGGACGGCTCGATTATATAGGAATACCAAGTAGTTAAGATGATTCGGTCGGAATTTGCTGCTCGCCTTTGTGTATGCCACGCGGGACTTCTTGTAAGTAGTAGTCACAATGCCGGAAACCTCAAACTTGGGTAATTAAACCGTTTATCATAATTATACAACAATTATGGCATAACAATACAACTGTACAATTAATACAACAATGATACAAGCAATGAATAGGCGCAGCCTGATTTCTTGTGTTCAGGTTGCTCAAGAGTGAAGAGGTTGTCATAAGACTTCGACCACATGAGATCGATGTGAGGAAAGGATATGGTGATTTGGGCAGCATTGCTGTGACCTGAGCTAGTCAGCCGTGGAGCCGTTTATATACCGTTTGGGTTGGGCGGAGTCAGGCTACAATAGGCGGAGTCGCGTTACAGTAGGTGGAGTGGGGTTACAGTAAGTGGAGTCAGGCTACAGTATGCGGAAGGACGGCTACCGGAAACATTTCACAAGCGTTGCAATCTGATAAGGCGATAGTCAAAGCATGCGACTGTAACTGCAGATGTTTTTCATGAGATAACCGCCGACGAAATGTTAGTCATAAGGTCACCGGAAGCCGTATTCGAAAATGTTTGACATAAGGTTATAATTAATTTACATAGAGAACATTCCAATATTCGTAAAGAATGTTCTCTATAACAACCGAGCAATCTACTTACTGTTTTCCGTTTATGAATTCTACTCTTGTCATCCTAAACAGGATGGATAGTCATGTGAGCATACAGGAGTTCGATAATGATTTAGTACGACAGACCAACCTACACGATAACAAGACTCAATGAAGGATCGCAATAGTACAAGAGATCGCTGTATCTCCCGTTCATTGGTTTAAGCGTTCGGCTCAACTGAATTAGAAGCAATCCTAGAAACTCTGGATGGCCGAGACGACTCTATCTAGTATACAAGAACTTCTCGCGAACTGTATAGAAATTTTACAACCATTCTTTAACGACGTTAATATTGAAGTAAAGAGCGTGAATGGACAAAGCAATTCCATCTTTCTAAAATTCTTTATTGCCATCCTCGAGAACGCGATCAGAAGATTGGAATGGAACAATATCTGAATAGAAATCTATGGCTGGCAATTATAATATCCTTCCATTGCTGATGACATCGTTGTTGTAATACCAAGCATAAGCCAGGTGGAACGAATGGATGTCGATTTGGTTAACCCTTGTGAAAAGATTGGCTTTCGACTAAACCCCACGAAAACAATGTTCATGTGAAATAGATTGTTCTGCATGCTCCATTTACGCTCAATGGAATGAATATCTCCAAATGCTCTCGTTACGTTAATCAAGGTCGCGAAACTGATGAATTACGTAGCTCCAAAGTTAAACAGAAGGAAACGAATGGCTTGGAAACCTTTCCAGAGGGTCGAGAATGTAGTGAGACGAACAAAGAACATCCGACCCCGTTCCTCCCTTTTGACTGCACGACTCTTCCATCCTCGACGTATGCGTCAGAAATTTGGTGGTTGCGTTACTAGGATGAAAGATCACTCAGGGTTACTGTACAGGCAATCGAAACGACGATGCTGGAGTCTTCGGTGTCACATGAGTGAGAGAAGGGATTCGAAGTTTCGACCTACGTCAATGATTAAAACTGAAAGACTACGCTCTATGCGCGCGGAAATGTCTGAGATAAAGTGTGCCAAACACATAATGCGCATTAACGACATCCGATGGATAAGAGCCGTTAGTGACCGGATTCCTCGAGATGTCACATGCACAACGGAAAATTTACCCCCACCTATCCATCCCCAATGGTCACTGCTTTTCAGGAAAACCCAGGAGGGAAAATACTATAGTAAAGGAGTCCCTGTAGCGAGGAGGACCCGCTGGCCTACTCTTGCGCGCGACAAGGAGAGATGCCCGCTCGGATCACTCTGCCATCAGCAGAATAACAGAATGCACGTGACAAGAAGTACTTAACAATCTCGTAGTCTCCTTTTAATCTGCTACTTTTTTAATTCTTAATGAACACAAATTTCGTACACCAAAACATGGATCGGGTAAGAGCTAGAGCTTTCCAATGCGGCACAAGGAGCGGTCACACTTTTAGTATTTGTTGCTTCGAAAACTGTGTCTTACTCAATCATGACTGCGGCTGACCTTGTCCTCAGTGTTCTACCCTTAAAGTAGTAAAGAATAACTTATAACGGCTCTATTGTACATCTACAGCAAGAAAAAATCACGAGGATAAGTGGACAAGTCCTGAAGAAGCATTGTATTACGTTGGCAAGATAAATACAATGGAGCATTCAACTTGTACATAGTGGCTAGAGAAGCTGCACAGATGAATACACCAAGGATTGGCAGTCGTGTAAGCACTTACCACTAAGTTTGATCTGAATTCTAGGACAATTAAGAACAGAGGTGCCGTATGTGAGAGTGAGAGCGACTCATTGCAGTATGCTACACGATATTAAGTTGATATCATAGTCATATCTCATGTCAGCAAATCCGTCCGTATACTAGTATGGTTTATTTTACTCCAATGCGCTCTCTTACAAACACACAATCGACAAATAAGGTTGGTTTCAGGTAAAGTAGTACAGGTAAAAGGGCAAGGCGACAGACTAATTCGCTATACGTGAGGTGTTCAGCGAAATCTAACAAGAACCTAAAGAAGCAATAAAAAAACACTCGCAGGTTTTGGCTTGCTGCATGTTATCTCATTGGACATCGCCATTTTCAAGATTTATGCAACTCGTTCATCCATGAGACAACGTCGACTTTTGTTTAATCCGTTAGAAACGGAAGCGACATTGCACATAACAGCGAAGAAGAGCCTACGCCTTGATGAAATAGCGAAGACGGCTAGGTGGAAAGTGGCGATAGCTGCAATACAGACGATGTATGATGAAATTGGAACGAAAGACAATAAGGGCGGCTCTTCTCAAAATCGGTGTGTATGGCGTCAAGCCCATCATCTCTCCGGTGTCGGCGAATTGGTGCCAGACTTGTCTGGGAGGACAGCAGCACTGGCTCGATATATCGGTAGGCCACCGCGATCACTGTGAGGACAGATATTCCTTCAATCACCCCCAATGATGCTTGACGAAGTCGAATGCATGGCGCATCTCTCAGGGATAGATCAACGCAGAGAGCTTCACGTTTTATTATCCTTCTTCTGAATGCCAACTTACGATGTCATTTATGAGCTAATCGCTTACAATCGCCTACTCAATCGGAATGGAGTGAAAACACTACTTTATCTAAGTTCTGTAAAGTATGGTGTCTTAAAAATTGCAAGGATTCTTCACAGGATCGACCTTTTATTAACCTAAGCATTGGATTATAAGGGTATCGTTTTCTTTTTCAGCAATCGCGAGGTTGCTATAGCATACGTTTAGTTCTGTACAAAAAACAACACAACAGTACCTGACGTTTCGACAGTATCGCCTTTTTCACAACCTGGAAGGGCATATGATTACGCAGCTTACTAGGTTAAGCTCTTCAGTAGGACAGGCACAAGGTCGATACGGCAATCACTTGATCACATAGCAAAGAGGATTCCCCAGAGAGAATACGCGATCTCGCCCCGCACCTTAGCATCGACTTTTGATGTGAGGTGTTGCATTCACCGACGAAATGCCACTGATCGGCTGATTTTCCTCACTGGAGGGCAGTTAATAAACGGTGGTCTTTCGAAAAACTTGATCGTGTGAATGCCACCTAGATTTTAATTCTTCTTTATGTGTCACTGAAGCGTTTGAACTGGTAAATTACGTATAGCCTAGCCTTCCAGAGTCTGAAGAAGGCGGTACTGCCGAAACGTCAGCTACTGCTGTGCTGTGTTTTTCATACGGAAGTAAACGATAACAGCCTAGTGGCTGCTGAAAAAGAACATGACGCACTGATAGGGTGCTTAGTACTCTACGCATAGATCTTATAAGGAATAATTTTTTATAAAAGGTCTTCCATTGTTAAGCGTTCGTCCGAGTTATCAGGTGTTGCTCTCTTGTCTAGAAAAGAAATTATGGTATTTTGCATAGCAGCGTGATACAACAACATCAGTAACAACTTCAGTAGGTGAAGGGCGATTGTAGGAACGTTTGAGTGCTTTTTTCTTCAGAATTCCCCATGGTATGACGTAGACGACTTGATCATACGTATCCTTAATGTCGCGTTACCGGGATATTCGTTAGTGAGTGGAGTCAAGGAGGGCGAACTCATGAATCTATGCACAGTGGCGAGGTATGTTCCGAAGCAAACTTATTGGGCAGAACTTATTGATTCGATTGTTGGAGAACCCTAAGGTGTTTGTCAACGGCGAAAAAACATTGACATCGATCAATGTTGATAAATACCTTTGTTCTACATGAACTACGTTGATATTTAACTAGTCGTCTACATTTTTGTTATTACAAACATTTGCTGCAGCAGATCGCCATAGTTGGTGCGACTATACAATGCCAGTTTCGTTTGCTTTATACGAATCGATTGACAGAACAATTGCATGTCAGTGAATAGGCCGTTGATGTAGGTTTTATTTTCTATTACTTCAGGCAGGTTTTTCTAAGTCAAGCATCACTCATCGAACTACAACCACCTATTAAAATATGCGGCGACATCCATGGACAATATGCCGGTAGTTTACTCTACTTCTAAACATAAGAAACGATTATGGGAGGTATCAGTAGTAAGCAGAATAATCAGTGTTGAACAGGAAAAGAAATGTTACTATACAATCGTCAATTGGTTGGTCAATTAACCCAACAGAACTCTGCGGCCTCGCAGACCAACCCACGTCCTGGAAGTACAGAGTAGCACGACTGTCCTAGAATTCAAGAGAAAGGGTGCCTTAACTAGCATCCAACATTTTAATGAGCGGAAAATATATTTGAAGAAGGCGAAACCGCCGAAACGTCAGCAATTGAGTTCTAATAAATTCTATATTAACAACCTCGTGTCTGCTTATTGATGAAAAACATTGAATTATCAATTAATGCCGAGGTTAACAGAAAGTCGGTCTTGGGAAAATATATTTGTTTTCCCTGTTGTGAACTCCACACGAACGTGACTACTGCCATGAATGGCCATTGCCAGTCAGTGAAATGAACAGAAGAATTGCTGTGACCTGCATGATATTCGAGGAAAACATTCTAAGTAGTTCAACAGCAAATAACAGTAAATATGGCAGGACAAAGACATCCAATAACCCCACCGCAAGTGTGTTCATTCTCCTTTATTGAATGGGTCAGTGAAAGCGCTAAACACGAAGCAAAACATGACGGATAGAGACCGTGAGGTGCCTGTTTTAAAGAGCAAATTAAGAACAATTCAGACCAAGGCTTTTTTGTAAGCACAGATTCCACAATTTTCAGACGTTCTACGACTATTCGATCGCAACGGTTTTCCGCCTACTGTTAACTACCTGTTTTTGGGAGATTATGTAGATCGCGGCCAGCAGAACCTTGAATGCATATCGCTCTTCTTCTGTTACAAGGTAAGGTGGTTCTCATTGGATTGCTAGGATTGCTAACTGATCCAGTTGGGTTACCATGGGGTATTTTCGTTGTTTCGTGTTTGTGCGCGCTATTAAGACATAAACTGAAGTATATAGTGTGGGTAAAACTGTAGCGAATCCAAGACGTATGAGTATGCTGCACTTTTGCACAACGGTTGTACTAACATCACGAGTTCAACGCTTAGTTTCGAATTAGTTAAGAACGAACAACAGCTATGTGTTCAACGTTCAGATTAAGTATCCGGGAAATTTCTTCGTATTACGTGGGAACCATGAGTGCTCGCCGATAAATCGAGTCTATGGCTTTTTCGAGGAATGTAATCGACGTTATCAAAGCACTCGGTTGTGGCTTCAGTTCCAGGTTAGTTATCCTATGCGTCTAGGCCGATATCGGAAGCTACGACGTTGTAGATGCACTTAACCATCAAACGCCAAGCATTAAGCATAAGGCTTTGTTTTAGACGACTTCAGCAAGGATTTTCCTCAGCGAAGCGCCACTCATCGGATTACTACTTACTTACTTTGATGCTTAGAGCTCCATTTAAGCATTGCCTACAAAACAAAAACTGTCGAATTCCTTAAATATTTCAGGACGCGTTTGCCGCTTTACCTTTCACGGGCCTTGTTGCCGGTAAGATCCTCTGCATGCACGGCGGGCTATCGCCTAAGGTTTGTTGTGAAGCGTTTAATCAACAGTAGATCAAAACCTATTTCTACTTTCTACAAGGGGCGTCCGCAAAACTAAGTGCCGTTACAAAGAAATTTTCGCGGAAAGTTCCATTTGCCTATTTCTAGCTAAAATCGATGGATCAATTAAGACAAATCACTCGTCCTATCGATCCGCCGAATCCTTCATTACACATCGATCTATTATGGAGTGATCCTGACAACTACACCAAGGTAATAATGGATTCTATTTCTACTTCGACTCTTGACGGATGTAGTGATTTCGTAAACAGAAGTTAATGAAATAGATGTACACAACAAAATTAATGAAATAGATGTACACATGGCGATTGTGGCTGAGCGGCGGATACTTATTGATTGAAGAAAGGGTCGTTATTAATCGATAGGCATCGCTGGGGTGGCTACGTTGCATCTAACGTTCGTGAGCTTGTGGTTAGTTCCGGGAAGGGGTGAAACTTTACTTCATCGCTATAATAGGTGTTACTCTAGCATCATAAGGAGAATATGAATCATTTATTCCATGTACTTCATACTCTCTCACACTTTTGACCACGTCTTAACGATATACGGAATTTATTCATAAGCACCATGTTGTGCTGATGCGAGGTCGGTATAAGCAGTTATTACTGTTGTTGTGGTTGTTGTTGCCCTCGTTGCAGTTATTGGTCGATGGCTGACGTTCCGGCGCTTTAGAACTCCTCAGAGCCGTGCGAGAGTCTCATTCGTAACATCACGGCTCTGAGGAAAGCGACATCGTCGATTTGTCAGCTATCGACCATCAACAACAGCAACGACAGCAGCAACAATAACAGCGACAACAGCAACCACAACAACAACAATAACAACTTCGCATTAGCTCAACAAGATCAGTTTGCAAGAAAGTATAAATAAATATATCGATTATATTTGCTGAAGTGTAGAAGGTTGGTCTTTTGAATTAATAAGATAAGTGGAATGATAAGTGGAATGGCTACCTGTTGAATACAAACGGCTGGTTACTTGGGTGACTCGTTTTACAAAGTGTGGGCCACTTCATACATTTCATATAACTGGTATATTACTTTTGCACAAGCTTATTTCCCTCGAAATCTCAGGTAGCCGTGCAAGGGCCTTCTTAATTCATCATTGAAAATCGCAACCCGTTAAATTTCTAGGTAGATTTTCCGTCATCTGCTTCGGTTTCTTACAGAATAACGCAGTTGAAGCCTTAGGCTTATTCACCACTTCTTGGCTTCAGACTAACACTTTAGGGTTGGGCGTCGAATTGTCGTGGTGTGTCGTACGTGTTCGGCAAAGATGTCGTCGTTGAGATGAGTGCGATACTCGACATTGAGCTTGTCGCAAGAGCTCATCAGGTCAGCACGCGATACAAACTTTGGTACAGTCGCTACTCAGAGACGATGGTGACAAGCGATCTAAGTTTTTGTACTAGTTTATAGTCCTGAATGAATTCGTTAACGCGTCAGGTGGTTCAAGATGGCTACGAGTTTTTTGCCAATCGGAAACTCGTCACGATATTCTCAGCACCGCACTACTGCGGCCAATTCGACAATGCTGGCGCTGTGATGAATGTGGACGAAAACCTAATATGTTCATTTACGGTGAGTTTGATAAAACAGTAGCCAAGATGCTTTTCTGTGCCACTCCTGTTGACAATGCAGACTTGTTAGGGCTGTCAGTTAGCAACAAAGGTCTTACAGTTTCTCGTTACATAGTTACTTACTCAATACACATTCTAGGAAACTGAGCAGTAAGGCATTAGTGCCCCGAATACGATACATTTTCGTTTACGTGCACTGATTTCAATGCTTATGCATAGAACGTTTCGGATAGCATGCGTTTGTCTAAGTATAAACCACACTGCAAGGCGATTGCGCTCACCATAGAAGGGAAAGCACCTTGACACGGTCGTGGTTTCACATCCTCCGGAACGACTTCGCCACTTCATAACGACGAAGTTTCAATTTCAGATTTTGCGACCATCTTTGAAAGCTTGCAAAGTCATGCCAAAATAAGAACAGCGCTCGAACAGTTCACTTTCGGAGAAAAAATCGATTAATTTTTTTATTCATTCATTAGCTTGTGTCTTCTTAGTAGCACTGAAAATGAAATCCATTCAGTAACATTTTTCCACAAGTTTCATTTCGATGACAAAAATATATTTCTTACAAGATCTGCGTCCGACATTCTTCTTCTTTCGAATCTGTAAAATAGTCAAAAACAATAAATCCAAGGCTTGATTTTGGTGGACCACAGTGATTCGCGGACCAAGGAATGGCGAAACAAGTCTCGCTTGGTGTGGTGGTGAATGCGTTAGCCCACGGAAAGAGTAATAGCGTGTTCTTTCTCCAGCAGGGACAACAGCGGTTAGGAGTTTTGCAAATATCTCAGCACCACTGTGGTTATAAATGTTGGTTACACCACTATGGTTAAAAAAATATTTAAAATATCTCCAGCTTTCTACAACCGAGTAGGTAACGGCAGTTTTCACTGCCTAGCGACCAACTAACTGTAGACGAGAGTAGAAGTACATGGATGGCATCCTCAACCGCCTAAATAGCCACCCTTGAGCTAGATTTCGATCAAGCCTCCCACTGGTACCTACTGCAGGGAGAGGACGGACAAGAATCTCGGCCATTCCTCTGATTACACTGAATCAAAACGTACCACGCTGGAGTTAGGCCTCTGACTCATAACGATGGAGATGCGGAGATAAATGAACACTGTTGGGTCTTGTCTTTTAGTGACTCAACCGCTGATCGGAACCTCTCAAACCATCTTTCGGTTGGTTGCTCACTCTGTTACAGCATTATCTACTGGAGCTCTATCTATGTTTAAAACTCTTTTTGCTGCTGCATGGCTATGCTTGAATCTATGAAGCTGAACCTTCTTAGAACCGACTTTGACCATAATCAAAATAAGTACTTCGTATTTCACCTGTAGTGAAATCCGTTAAAAAAATAAAGCAAAATTGCAGGAACATATAGTGACGTAACTGAACGAAATTGTCCTGAAAAGAAACTTCGCATCCTCGTTAACAGTACTGGCCAGCAAGAACCTGTGGATCGCTAAAATCAAAATCGTACATTCTCTTATGATCCGAAACTTATCAGAGGGCAGACTGAGGAAAACTCAAATGTATCAGCGTTTATCTCCGTCGAATAAAGTGAGAAATCGTAGCCTTTTTTTTTAATTTACTGCCTATTCTTTTTAACGGCAGCGTATTTTGCGAAGTATAACTATTTTAATGCTGAGATATTTGCAAAACTCCAGACCGCAGGTGTCCGCGATGGGGAAGGAACGCGCTATTGTCCTTTCCGAGGAGTAACGCGTTCACCACCACACCATGCCGCTCCTTCGTTTCGCCTGTCTCTCAGTTAGTTCTATCGATCTTTTTGCCATCAGCATTTACCTGTCAACGTGGTCGATCTGGAGAGCCCAAGTCGGCATTGAACCTAGTTAAGCAGGGGCTATAGTTATAATCACAATCGTAACCTTTCTTTTGCAAATATTTCAGCATGAAAATAGTTTGAACACCATAGCGATGCATTTAGTGAAAGGATTGAAAATTCAAGTCTAGTTGTGGTCTAAAGTATGAGTAGGGCAACAATGGTCTGTTTTTTGGCAATGAAATGGCATTAAATTTAAAGAGTGATTCTAAGATAACCTTGCGTAGGGTCGCATGTGGTTTACATGAACTTCAGGATAGACTCCGCAAAAGAGCTAGAAATGAAGCGCTAAATAGGTGCGAACAACATCAAGTGGGGACCCTACCAATGGCACCATTTCCCCCGACGTTCTTTAGACAACAAGAGCCCAATAATGAAGTTGATGTTAAATTTCGGATGTTTGCGAATGAAACTCGCAAAGTCCTTAATCACTATCGCGCGAAAAGATACAGCTCCAACCTCACTCCAGTGCAAAAACGTGGTATGCGAGAGGTACGAGACCTGATAGGGTTGAAAACCATAAGACTTTCCGTTAGGGATAAGGGTGGAGAGTTTGTCGTAATTCCTCATCAGTTGGATGTGGAGATAACGAAAAAGCACCTTGAAGATGCTTCGCTTTATCGCCCATCATCTGAGGAGGAATTCAAAAGTAAATACCGAAAACTAAACCACGAATGGGCCAAAATGGCAAGGGCTGCTGGTTTAAAACAATTTCGGATGTTTGCGAATGAAACTCGCAAAGTCCTTAATCACTATCGCGCGAAAAGATACAGCTCCAACCTCACTCCAGTGCAAAAACGTGGTATGCGAGAGGTACGAGACCTGATAGGGTTGAAAACCATAAGACTTTCCGTTAGGGATAAGGGTGGAGAGTTTGTCGTAATTCCTCATCAGTTGGATGTGGAGATAACGAAAAAGCACCTTGAAGATGCTTCGCTTTATCGCCCATCATCTGAGGAGGAATTCAAAAGTAAATACCGAAAACTAAACCACGAATGGGCCAAAATGGCAAGGGCTGCTGGTTTAAAACCAACAGTTATCTCTCAACTTAGAGTTGACTTACCAACATGCCCCGTCTTGTACTTACTTATAAAAACTCATAAGTTAGTATCCAGCGATGATCTTGCGTCTAACGATCCATCACTATTTAAGGTTAGACCTATCATTAGCTGCGTAGACGGGCCAACGGACAGGATAACATGGTTTTTAACTCTAATATTTAACCAGTTGTTGAAACACATTCCAGCCCATCTTACGAATACCCAGATGTTTCTGGATCGTCTACGTACTGCGCAACCCAACAGCGCGTGCGTGATGGAGTCCTTCGACGTTACCGCCCTTTATACAAACGTGTCGAATGACTCCGCAATGCAAGCCATATTCGAACTCCTTACACAACACGAAGGAGAAACAAACATGTATGGCTTCAAGATAGAGCAGTTGATGGCACTCTTAAAAGAATGCTTGAGCTGCTAAATCTTCAGATGGTCCGGAAAGTACTACGCTCAAATAAGAGGGTTGGCAATGGGACAACGACTGGCTCCAAGCCTTGCCATTGCATTTATGTCTAAAGTGGAAGCACCGGTGACTGATCTCGGGCCGCTACTCTACTGTAGGTATGTAGACGACTGCTTTGTCCTTTGCTCAACACAAGAGGAATTGGACAAATGCTTCGAATTGTTAAACGCACAGTCAGAGTATATCAAGTTCACCCGAGAAAAGCCGAAAGAAAAATGGCTTCCATTTTTGAACGTACAAATTCACCTATCAGAAAATGGCTAGATTACAAAATGGTACCGAAAGCCAAGTAGTAGAAACATCTTGGTTCATTACCTCTCCTCTCACCCCTCTTACACGAAAAGGGCGCTTATAAGAAATATGCTTCGAACGGCAACCAACGTCTGCACGGGAAGAGAGCAGAGATAGGAGTCCCGGAACTTGGCACGGCAAATAGCCATTTCTAATGGCTACGAAACTGTAGCTCAGGATAGGTGTAGAGGAAATCGTAGGCCTCCAAACGACAACTCTAGCGATAGAAGGGTCCCGTTTATCCTACCCTTCATCTCAAATGATATAAGTACAGCTATAAAACGCTGCTTAAGAAGGGCGGGCTTAGAGAATTCGGTGAGCGTAGTTGAAATACCACCTAGTAATCTTTAGCGCCAGCTAGTTCGCAACCGCCTATATGACCGTCTATGTGCAACTCAAAATTGCATAATTTGCCCCAGTGGTAGAGACGGTGATTGCATGAGCTCGGGTATAGTTTATCTGATCTCCTGTAAGACGTGCGGTGACGAATACATTGGCGAAACGGGCAGACCCCTCTGTGTCCGCATGAAAGAACACCTAGCCGGCAAAAATAGACCAAATACCTCTCTAGGCACGCATAGGACCCAGAGACATAACGGGGACGATTTCGAAGTATGTGTCACGATCCTCGCACGCGAATCAAGATCACAGGCGCGAAAAACTCTCGAGGCACTCTGGATTAATTCCAGAAATCCGAAAATGAACCGCAGGGAAGAATGCCTCAATGCCTCATTATCACGTGTGATATAGGGCAGTATATAAAACTGCTTTTCTGATGTGAGGGGCACATTATACTTCCACGTGATTTCTGTGCGGTTGGTCTCTACGTGACATACTTAGTGGAAACTTCATAGGAAGCGGTGAGTGTGCAAAGCTGTGTTCAAAGTGATTGAAATCTTGGTTTGGAGTTTCTTTGTTTGGTTATGGAGGCGTCTGGCCGAGTAGATTGCTATCAACTTGACCTTTCCAGGCTCTGAGGAAGGCGAAATCCGCCGAAACGTCAGCTTAATCGTGAACAAAGAATAGTAACGCTTCGCGTTTGCTCAACAAAAATACGAAGTAAATTTAAAGAGTTTGGTCAGAGTGCGGATAGTAGAGTGGCAATGATTCCGATCATCACGAAAACTGTGCTGATTCGATCCCGCTCTGGGTACACCAAGCCTCTCATTTCCCGAGGTCGAAAAATTAATATTGAAGTTGTCTAGAAAAAATTCACTCTCTGGAATTCAAGTGGGAACGCTTTAGACCACCTATCTCGGCACTCCGAGAAGAATCGCATTCAATGATGTTCAAGATGGAAAGAAAATCGTCAAGCAGCAGATCGAGCCATACGTGAAAGCTGGAAGACTTAGGTGGGTGAAGCA